AAATAATTTGTTGTTTTGAAATGCTAGAGTAACTAATCCTATGTTTATGGTATAATAATGATTTATAATTTAGACGTATTTACGAGTACTATTGTAATCTAAACTTTGTTTAATACTGATAACCATATCATTATATTTACTAATATTTATGAAAAAAAATAAACAGTTTAGCCGCCATTTCACTAATAGCGATATCAAAATACAATCCCACATTTGARTTGCATCCTGTTGATTACTTGTTAATCGGAAATATATGAATTTACATTAAAAAACTCATTTTTTTCTTTTATAAATCAGACTTGTGATTTATTTATTTATTTTTACATTATATTTTAGCTCAAAATTATTAATATTATTGTATTGTTTGTATAAATAAAGTAATGCCTACAATGTAAACTTTCACTTATTTTACTGAAAACCAATCCCTAGAATTTCTCATAATATTTCCAAACTGTCCAACTTGTCCAACTAAATAGTATTCAATATTATCTATCATAAAAAATTCTAAGAAATGTAGAATACCTACGTAGAATTTTTTTTGAATATTTAATGATACTCAATACTTAATAGTATCATACATTTTCATCTRTCGGTCAGATAATGCTAAGMGCATTAGGTTCTATGTTTTTTATTAATAATTACCTACGTTTTGTGACTATTTAACTAGTTTGAAAAATTTAACTATAAGAATAGAAGTAGTAAATAAAAAGAATAAAAAAAAATGCATAGTCTGTTCTCTATAAAGTAACTATATTATTTATTTATTACTATTTTCAAATTTAAATACATCTGCCTAGTGAGCATAACAAATAACCCCTTTAGTATTATTTTGTAATCTGTAATGTTAACGAAAGACTTATTAAATATAATCATACGAAATACTATTTTTTAGATATAAATAAACGGCGCAAAGCATTATTCTGATTTTCATATGACATAAGAAATAAGTGTTCACGAAACACAATAATTAAAATACGTAGGTCGGTAATAGAGAAAGTATGTTAGAAATGAGTCATATTATGTGTGACCAAATAATACTCRAGAAGGTTCTTYTCATTTAAATGTTAACTATGAAGCGACCTATTTAWCAACATTTAAAGTTTTTATAATTATTGTCAAATTAGAGAATATAAATAATCATATGTAATTGGATATTTAGGGTGTCAAAAATATGTCAATGTTGAATTACATTTCCTTTGTTTATATTTTCTTATTTTTTGATATAACTGAAATAGTACTATAGATACAAATATTAGAATTCATTTAAAAAAATTCTAATATTACAATTCAAATAAATCAATTATAAAAACATTAATTCCTAAGTATAGAATATATATTTTGTATTATATATTATTATATATTTTGTATGCATTTGATTTATATGTTGAGCTACTTATGTGTATAAATTATATAAATTGTAGTTGAATTAATCAATTTAAAATTTGTTTTTGTTTTTAACCTATAATCTGTTTAATTTATTTATAAATTTAATTGTTTGCTACATTTTATCAAATATTTAAAATTGATGATGGCCGTTATTATTAAATTACTGTAGGTAGGTACATCAATAATTTACAAATATGAATACATTTAATTTTGTACGTATATGCTAGGTACATACACCATTTCATCACATAACTATTGGCTAAAGTCTAAAAATGGTAGAAAAATAATATATAATATTCATTGTATTATATTATAGGTACCTTAGTACCTACAGTTAAATTATTTTGATTATAACACTCATGCGTGGCAGGAATTATGTGATCAATGTCCGATGTACTTATATATTAAATTATAATACATATTAATGTTTTTTATAGACATATTATCCATTTGGTTTTACACTTATAAGTTATAACGTTTATCCAYAATAATGCTTTTTTCTGTTTGTTTATATTATAAGAATTTAATTAAGAAATTTAATTTATAAACACATGTTAATGTTATATATATTTAGAATATACATCTATATGAAATATATTTACTTGACARTATAGATGGATTTTTAATCGTAGTCGTATGTTTAACCGAGAAAGAATTAGATCAAGTGTTTTAAAAAAAAACATGTGTTTACAGCTAATAATAAATATAAATATTTTTAACGTATTTTAAGATTCGACAATTATGCAGAGAACATAGTTATGGATGGTCAAGAGTACAACATGTGTCTGTGGGATACTGCCGGCCAAGAAGATTACGAAAGACTTAGGCCACTGTCTTATCCAAATGTAAGTTAAAACGTTATTAGTTTTTTAATGGTGAAATACATTTTTAATATATTGTTATTTGCATGCAATTTTATTTTCAATTTTACATATTATATATTACTCATGGCTTATGGGTTGTTCAAGTGAATTATAACAGAAAAACMTTTTAAAATAAACTAACTGATTAGTAAACTACTCTAGAAATTGTATTCTCTACAATTTTAATACGCTACTCAGTTTTAAAACATGGTTTCCGGTTGAATCACTGACAAAACTATTCGTATAATGTGTTATAGTAATATGCCAATATTATATTACAGACGGATTGTTTTCTACTTTGCTATTCAGTTGGTAGTCGAAGTTCATTCGAAAACATTGCCAGTAAATGGCATCCGGAAATTCAACACCACTGTCCGAAAATACCTGTGATATTGATCGGTAAGGCTTGATGACGAATCTCGTGCATTGTACCATAGTTATGGGAGCGAATGCTGGGATATTATGTTCTATGAGTTTCAAATTGTTTTTATTTATTTATATATAAATATTCAGCACACAAACAATAATGGTTACCTATTAATAACACTACATATATTGAATTGATGAAAAACAATTATTTAGTTTTCGTTGATTTCTGTTTGTCAAATATTATGTAATCTTTATTATAAGTAAACAATATGATGTATTTTATTAATATTATATTATTATTGCTTGTAGAGTGAGTATTTTTAGTAAATAGTGCAAATATCGTACCTAAAACACTCAAAAACCTTATACAAATAATTAAATCTGTAGAATATATAATTTCACTAGTTAATAATTTGATCATTATATCATTATTTTTACCTGGACATTAGCCCGTTTTGTATGTATAAAATAAAAATAATAAAAAATATTAAACATGTGTAACAGATGAAACAATACAGTTCGATTAAAATAAAACAGTACATAAATCATTTATTTGGTTTCACTGTAAACGAATTAAAAAAATTAAATTTTACTAACATTGGTTTAAAATAATTATTCAAAAACAAATAAACGAACATCCAGAGTCCGTATACAAACWCACAAATGTATGCCTGAACAAGAGTAATATTTGTACCCACCTATTGTGCACGTATAACATAACATTATAATGGTTATCTTTTACAATGGTACCTTGTAAATAATAATTGCATTCATAACAAATAATAATCCAAATGTAATGCCTGTGTATCACAACGATATAATTGCCCTATACACTCATATAAAATATACATATATTTATTTGTGGTGGTTTATTCGATAATATTTTATTTATTAAATATRCATGGTTATTGTATTCATAAAACAAGATATAATAGTATATAGGTAGATAAAACATTAAACGTTAGTGATGTAATCAACATAATAGTTGATTTAGTTTAA